ATAATAAATTATATTTTGGTTTTTGAAGTGTATATATATATATATATGTCGATAAAAATGGGAGAATTGAATTTGATCTGGTTAATAAAAAAAAATAAAATATAGCACAAACAACCATATAATCATGAATAAACGATAAAACGCATTATAATTGTCGTTTATTTAATTTTTTTTAGTCATACAAGATATCGAACGATTCTGAATATATATATATATATATATATTTTTATATATATATATATATTTCGTTTCTTTTTTTGAAAACATTTTAATGAAAAAAGATTGATTTTATATTATTTTTTTTTAATAGTTGAAAAAATTACGTATATACTATATATAACAATTTTCTTGATCGCTCATCGGGAAGGTATCGCGATTCGAGCAGAAAATGTTTCTCCCTATATACGTACTTATTATAGACTTTGATGGGCAATTGATACTCCGTTTTGTACGTTCTACGATTTAAAATCGATGTTACAAAATTTCTACAAGTAATATTGCAACTTTTCTTTTTTTTTTGTTTTTTTTTATTTTGTTTAGCTGAACGGTTAACACGTTTATTGTTAATTCAAGAGCACTTAATCGTCATGTGCGCGTGAGTACTATATACCGTCGAGTACTTTTAGACATTTCGAGATTATTGAAAATCTTATATCTTGTCTAATAAAAAGTATGTAAAGTATGTAAAGCCAAGAGGTGTTGATTCGCGGATTTTGGACAAATGCCCAATTTCCCCGCGACGAGTGAGAAACAAGAAAGTGAAGAAGTATCTTTGATTGACGCGACATTGTACTATGATGAAGTTTTTTTAATAAGAGATACGTCAGCACCCTGGCTTTCTTGCACGTCTACTCTCGAGGAAATTTCTACACGAGAGTTTCCAAAAAATCATCGTGAGGAAGGAATTGTTGCTGGGCCACGGAGGAGTATTCCATGTCGATCGGTTTGGTGTTGTCGCGAAGGGCCGGTGCCTCGCAGAGAATGATGAACGTGCCGACGATCGAAGCTATCGTGAAGATCCATAGGAAAAGTCTGTCGAGAACCATCGCTACGAAACCCCAATCCTGATCTTCCTGTCCAATTCGATTCAAAATTCCAGATTATATAAACGAACCACAACAACAACAAACTCTTTTACCCATTCAAAAATAAATACACACCGCGTTGAACTCGTCTTGCCGTTGTATGTGGTGCTGAATGAACATCACGTTGTGCAAAGCTTTCTCGAGCTCGAAAGGATATTTTTTCCTGGGCGTTACGTCGCTCAGGGACTCGTCCAAGCCTGACATCACCGTGGGAAGCCCGTTGTATCCACCGATGCCTCCCAAGAATCTGTTATGCGCGGTTGTCGTGTGCAATCCGTTGCATCCTGAAATCCAATCATTTTTTATAATAGAACGTCGTAAGAATGGAAATATATATATATATATATATACATCAACGCTCACCGCCGATCCGTTGATGCCGAGCTGAATCCGGGGACGAGACTATCGAAGATGATTGCACGGCAGCCGCGACAGCAGCGTTGAATTTGCTTTTCTTCCCGGATCTCCCTCTACCGTGCATCTTGTGCGCGGCAAGATCGTTCAACAGATCGTCGGGCACCCTCATCAAAAGAAGTTTCGGTAATCTCCTTATGAAAATCTTCCTCACCCAGGGCGCCATTTTATGGGTGCTCGGCTTACGATAATGAACGTTCAATATAACGATCGTTATAACTACCGAGAGACCGACGAGGATCATGGTGAACAGCAAGTATTTGCCGAGCAAAGGCAACGCCAACGAGGTCGATGGTATAATCTCCGATATTAAGAGGAAGAACATGGTTTGGGATAGTAGGATGTTGATGCAGAGGGCGATCTTTTCGCCCGAGTCCGCGGGCAAGTAGAACGCGAGCACCGACAAATACGAGATGCTCACGCATGGCACGATCAAGTTCACCGTGTAGAACAACGTTTTTCGACGGAGGGTGATGTTGAAGAAGATATCTGGGTAGGGCTCGTCGCAGCAGGGATAGTATTTCTTGTGCCGCTCGGCTGGAACTCCCAGTATGTCCCACTCCACGCTGGGATAGTACTCGCGAAGATCGATCCCGATCTCCACTTTGTCCCCCATGTTTTGATTAATGTGTTTCAAGTCGATCTGAGCATCAGATTCGAACGGTGATTGTTAGAGGAAAGAAGTTTCTTTCTTTCTTTTTTCCTTTTACCTGAATACCGTCGTAAGTCCACGAGCCGAACTTCATGAAGCAAGTTTGCTGATCGAATGGGAAATATCGGACGTCTATCTCGCACGAGGATTTGAAAATCGCCGGAGGTGTCCACAGTACCTTGCCCGTGTAATGTAGGATAGCTTTGGTCATCGTGGTAACCCCGTACTCCCCATCCGCGCTGAAACCAATTTTCCAATTTCGTGATCCGAAAAAAGGAGTTGGACGGAAAAGGAAAGATTTTATTAGATTTAAAAAGAATACTTGTCCGTACTTGTTGTAGAGCACAATGTCGGGAAGCCATATGTGCTCGCTGGGTACGTAGAGTTCGGTGACACCTCCGTACTCTGCCGGATCCCACTGAAACTTGTGATCCTGCCATTCCTGCAATTCGTCTCGAATGATTAAACGATGCTTCGCCCGGGGATTCGATATATAATCTCGACCGATGACTTACGTGCTCGAGCCATACGTTTGTCGTGAGAATTTGATCCTTCAAATTCTGCAAATTTTCAATATTATTGCGTTACTCTAAAAAAAATTTCGAATACCCGGTTTCGAATGTTTCGCCTACGGTGTTTTCGTACAACCATGTTGTTTATTATGTAGATAAAAAGGCCACGTACGAGATCGATCAGTTGGGACAGGCGAAGTCCTAGTTTAACGACTACGGTGTCGTTGTTATTCGAAACGGGGCGAATCAGCCGATTGTAATTCGACAGCAAATCGTCGTACAGCCTCTTCGCGTCCGGATTGCCGTGGCATATCCTCGCTGAGAGGATCAAGATGATCGCCTGAAGTATCATTTCAAATGCGTAGCTAGTTTCGGGATTCAGATCCAATCGGCATCCTGTTCATTTATAGAGAAAATTGTTGTTGAAACAAATATGGAAATTAATCGTGGGATAAACATTTATCCTCGATACGTGGATTTAATTTTGACAATTTAGCTATATATATATATATCGGAGTATTAGATAGTGGGATCGTAGACTTGTTGCGTTGTATCGATTCTTCATTGAAATACACGAAACGCGAATAATAACGTTTTTTTTTTTTTGAGATTAATTATTACTTCGATGCAACCGCGTTCACGATATTTACATCAGAGTATCGTATTATTCGATTTCGTTCCGAATTAATCACGCCGGCATAACTATTTAATCGATACAGATAAATTTTCAAAATTCGTTCAAATTTCTCGAAACTATGAAACCATGATTCGAGTTATAAAACAGAAGAATTTGTTCGAATTTGTTTCAAATCGCAAGTAGAAATTTTCGAGAGAAAATTTCCTAAATTTCCTTCGAATAATTCGCGTTAACTCGTTCGACAAAATTCGAAAAGGAACTGGGCCAAAGCGATCGATCGATCGATCGATCGATCGGTCGGTTGGTCGATCGCAATGTTTACGACAAAGTTGAATGAAAATTTACTTGGTATTCCCGTTCAATCTCCTCGAGTGCTCCTCTTCTCACGAGAGTCGATCTCGTGTTCGTCTCATAACGAGGCGCCTCGATTCCTCGAAACGTTGACGATTCGTGCGTTCGGGCGGCGATCGGGAACGCGACGGTCTCGCATCACTGTGACGCGTCACCCGTTGCGAAACGGCTGTGCGTGGTGAAACGGCGCCGCGGATGAGCGGAGAAATGGTATTCTGTATACAGCCAATGGACCACTGGATGATGTTACGTGCATCTCGGATTCTCCGGGATCGATACGCCATTGCGCATGCACCGACCGAGGCTCGAGGGTGGCTGCGCGTTTTCAACGCCTCCCCAACCGCGCAGCTTCTGTTCGTTGCACTCGACAGTGGAAAAAGAGGCGCACGACCGCCGCCGCTTCTGCACCATCTCTCCGCCCCCGCCTCCGCTTCTACGCCTCCCTTTCCAATTCCTTTCCTTCCCTCCCCCCCCCCTCCCCTTCCGTCTCCCCAAATTTTCTCTACGCGAGATCCTCCATACCCCTCCGGGGACTCTAGGTTATGTTTCACGCGCCGGTCAAACCATGCGGAATCGCGATCGCCGCGCGAGAGATCGATCCCCTCGAGATTTAATCGATTAATTAATTCCGAAAATATACGCGTGAACCACGACGTTTCTCTTCCTTTATTAATTCTCATCAAAGAGGAGTTGGAAGATTTGTTGTACGAGTAGAGAGGGGGGGGGGGGAGTATTTGAACGACGGAAATGGAATTGAGCCGAATCGAGTCGAGCAGCTTCGAAGAAAAATCTTCCCTTTCTCTCTCTCTCTCTC